AGTTACTTATCCTCAATATGTGTTGGAAAGAAATCCGTAATTAGATACAACATCTCAGTAATGATAGAAATAAATCAGTGCCACTTAAAATTGTTTATGAATATAAAAAACTTCAATCAGGTGAATCAGTGTTGTCCTAGTTTAGTCTGGATAATATGTTAACACACACATGAGTGACAAGTCAAATTTTCAAGTTCTTCTTCTTGTTGTTTTACTAAACCTTTAAGCATATTTAATATTTCGCTGCTATTTTATAATGTGTATAATGTTATTTATTTTCTACTAGCTGGAGTATATAAAAACTCGTTTGTAATAAAGGATAGGAAATTGTGCTTCTGTTATTTTCTTAACATAATAAACATTAATAGTGCAATAAAATGTATAATTGTAACAATATTGAAAATAAAGACACTTTTTTCAAGAATTCTAAAAATACTGGTTACATAGTTCATTCTAATGCTGAGGGCCATACAACATTGGTAGTTTTTCCGAAATTAGATATAAGATTATAGGGGGGCAAACTCCCCTCGTGATCCTCTTCATGTCATCCTGTATCACTGCGTCAAGGTTGATGCTGATTGACCAAGAAATAAGGAAACGGATAAGGAACAGATACACACACACACACTTATTGATGTTTATTTGTATAGATATCAAACTATTTCAGCTTAGTGTAGAGAACAGTCCTAAAGAATTACACTTCTAGTACGTGAGGTATAGAACGTCATCAGATACCATGACAACCACTATGCTAACAGCGTTAAGGTATTTGGTTTCTTCTCGACAATGAAGTCAAAGTGGCTAGAAGTTTTGCAAAGGTAATTTATATACACTTGTTAAATCAATATTTACAAACTAGCAACACAGTTACGTGTAATTGACGTTAGTTTTTGATTCATTGAGTTGAAAGCAAACACATTGAATGACATGTAAGAATGATATTTTTTTATTAATATAGGTTTTCCGAATTTACGCCTGACAAAAAGAGAAGTGGCTTAAAAAAATACTACAACATGGAAATTCTCAAGACCTTAATTTTATAACATGTCATGTTGTATATAATATTTCTTTGTATAAAGATGTCCGTGGAGAAATCTTTTATTAATAAAATACACCTTTCTTTTGACAAAATATAAATTGTTTGATATTTTACATCTTTGGAATATTTTGTATTATTAAAGTTAAAACAAAAACGTTAAGATTGTTTTGGGTATTCGGTACCTGTATGAAAGTTAAATCGAAGAAATAAATAAAGTACAACGTTTATCCGTACTCAACCAAAAGATGTTTATTAAAGACATTGACGGTTTCAATAAAGACGTTTTAACTGTGTTCAGATAAAAGTTGTATTTTAGTTATTTATTTAATTTTTGTTTTGCGTCTTACTGTTAATTTCTGAAAGGCTCCTACCACACTGCACATTGTATGTTTGTTGTATGTTCTATGAATGTGTCCATGATGCAACTAATTATTATAATTTCAGGCTTTTAAAAACGAAAATTGTAGTTTAATCCGAGAAATATTTCAAAAAAAAAGAAAAAAGTTTATTAATAGAAAGTAGTTTATAAATGTGAATCTTCTTCACATGAAATAACGAACTTGTGTTATCAAGTATCGTATATCTAGATGTAAATTGTTAGTTTCACGTAACATTTCTTGTATTGCAATGAAAACAGATCACCAAAAGTCGTTAGAGCCCAAGAGACAAACGCACTTAGCCTGTACACAAATATACAATGGCCCGGCATGGCCAAATGGTTAGGGCGTTCGACTCGCAATCTGAGGGTCGCGGGTTCGAATCCCCGTCCCACCAAACATGCTCGCCCTTTCAGCCGTGGGGGCGTTATAATGTGACGGTCAATCCCACTATTCGTT